GATCCCTTTACCAAAACCTATATGTGTTGGCAACTCTATCCATATTGGCCTAACATGCTAGTAGTAGTGACTCTTGAAGTCTAGGTATGATATGAAAGCTGGAAGCCAAGAAAATATAAAAAAAAATCAAGAAATATAGTTTTTTAGGAGCATCTAGAGCACATGTGGGTATGAGATGAGCTTTAAATATACTGTCACCATGGATCTTTGAAACCTTGGGGATAAATAAGGATAAAATAGCCACTAAAGGCTCTCTCATTAAAAAATTACCCTTTTCCAGTTGGCTTAAGGGAAGAAAGATAGAGTGTGTTATATGTGGTATTAGAGCAAATGGCATGGGTTTGATTTTTATTTATTAGTGGCTACTTAAAATATAATATACCCTTAAGCAAGATATATTTCTACTCCTAAAATTGAAATCATATGTATTGGGCATCCATGAGTGCATCTTTCGTCTTATAAGGCATCCACGAATGAAAATATCCACCATAGGACTGCAATACAAGTGGATGATTAGTTGCCTCATATAAATTGATAAATTCAATGCGGAAATAGAGGTATTAGTTCCCTTTAGTTCAGTAAAGGAAAATAGCATATACATGTGAAGTCAAGTACTTGGCTTAAAGCATGAAAAGTACCAACAAGGAGGCATCATATTATGATGGAAGTCATCTTTGTGTAGCAAGTATAGATAGCTTAAGTGATCTGCAAAAAACACTTGATTATTGTGAAAAATGAAAGCAAACTTAGACAAGTGTTTTAGTGTGTTATCTCCATGCAAGTGTGTGATCTTGGCCTAGTACCAAAGTTGTAGAATAGTGATGACACCACTTACAAGTTGGAGAAGAAAGTGCAACTTTTACATGAATTTTAAGAGCAATATCCACCACTCCTTGAGATGCCGTGTTGTCAAGTGTAAGTTGGGACCACTCCATCTTTGTTGGAGCAAGTTCAGGAGGCTGTAGGGAGTCCTAAAGGAGGCCTAATACACCACTAAAGCAAGTTTGTTCTCCATGCATTATTAATGAGGGATGGTGTGAAAACTTGAGGTGGAAGTGCATGGCCTCGTGAGAAAACCTAGACCACAGTTGTGTGGCACAAGGTGGAGAACTCTAGTCTACAGTAAGAATGTGGCTCTAAAGTGCTAAACTCAGCTTAAGTCACTTTGAAGGATCTGGTGGTCAAATGAAGTGTCAACTTTGAATATGGCATTTTTTGCTGAAGATTTTCTTGTCACATAATTCCACCCAAACAAACCACATAGCTTACAGCCATGCAAGTTGTTTGCAACCCAATGGTAATGTTGTCTCATAATCGAACATGAAATATTTTCAGCTTATATCAATTCATTTAGGTATCATATTTTTCTTCATCAAGATTTGTTAGCAAATATGATCCATTATTGTAGATTTCAACAATTTGATACAGGCTATCCCCTTGTGGAAGAAACTTTTTATAAATGTTTTGTCAATTCTACTATCATATTTTATAACCACCTTTATAGATTTTTTATTAAATTTATGTTTTCTTTACTGCTGAATTACTTTTATCTATTGAAAAGCTTGACATTGATTCTCATCCATCCTTTCAAATTGAATTAACCTCAACTACAAGTCTTCATTATTACTTAGTCTATACTTCAGTGTTAATTGTAGAGTTGGGATTTCCAACTCAATTAGAAGCATAGTTTATATCCCATAAACTAGCTAAAAAGGAGTGAAGTTTATTACTACTTTATATATGGTTTTGTAATCCTATAATGCCAACAATAGCCATTTGTCCCAATCTCTCTTCTTTTTAACAGTTAGCTTTTTTAAAATGTTGCCTAATACATCATTTAATCTCTCTATCAACCCATTTAATTTATGGATAATATGATATTAATTATCATTATTTAGTCTATAGCTTCCTTATTAAAGTTTTAACCACCTTATTACAAAAGTGTGAGTCTTAGTCAGTGATGATGTTGAATATTGGGGGGTTCTATTGAGAGAATGTGCTTCCTCTTGACTAGTGCTCATTGGAAATGCAGTGGAGGAAATGAAAATGTTGGAATGTTAACCTTGTGAACATGCTGACAAACCCCCAGAAGGCATGGACTGCCTTGGGAACAAAGATCCTCCGGTCAGCAGTCCATTTCCCATGCCCAATCCATCTCCCTTGTCAATGTTCCCAAAGTGAAAACCGTATGGATCAAGGAAAGGGACTGATCTTGAGGACCAAAACCCTAGGATGCCACTGACTCTTGTTCCATCAAGGCTTGTCGGCCGGGAGTCCTTGGGTCAGCACTTGCATCAAAGATGTTCCCTTGAGCTCCATCCACCCGCCCTTCTAGTTCTTCTGGATCTCCTAGATGAAAGCCATTCCATCCTCTTGGATGCCTTCATCGTGTTGATGGCATCCTTAAGCTCCTGCTGGTGCGAGATGCTTACCTCCATGAACCTGCTTAGAAGCTCTTCTAGAGGAAGCGGAGGAATGTCGATCGGCTCCTTGAAAGCATCAATTGGAGATGGAGATCCTTCCGGTACTGTAGCTGCCGGCTTCATCCCACGACTGCAAAGAACCAAGAATGTATTGGAGCATCTGAGTTTGTTCAGGGGACCACCATGGGGGTGACAAGGATCTCACACGCACTTCCCAGGCCATTTCCCCGACAGGGCACAAGAAGAGGGAATTTTCTCAATGGAGCCAAACGGCAGTGCAAGAAGAGCCAAATGACACTTCACACATAAGAGGGGAAGCGAGGAGAGAGGGAATCTGTCCAAGAAACTAGGAAAGAAGGGAAATTTTCATGTGATTGGGGTTTTGAAGATTCATGGCACGATGTTGACTAACCAATCAAGAGTCAATATACGTAAAAGAGAAACGATTGATATTTAAAAACAGCCATAGCCAAAGATGAGAAAGAGCAAGAAATAAGGAAAAATAACTTGAGTCCACTTCCTTTATATACTATCCATAACAAAGTTTATCTTGGTAACAGTCATTGAATTGTCGTCCACATATAAAGAGCAAGTATAGCAAAACTGCTTTTTGGGGAGAACATGTAGATGTTGCCATTTTGTTGCCATTTGCTTAAATTTTGATGAAGCTAAGGTGTTGGAGAAACCTGTCCACGTGGTCATACCATGCTTTAGGAGATTGCCACAATCTGTAAAGGAGATTGCCACAGCTTATAGAGTGCTTTCTTGAGATAGCAAATGAATGTTTCTTTTCCACATTGGCAGCTCATCCATTCAGGTACTTCAACTTTCTGATTGTTGTGGGAATGGCGTCCTGGTCTTCTTGTTGAGAGTGTATGCCTCACAAAACTTGAGATTTCTTGTGAGTCCGTGTGTTTCTTGTTGCAAGCCAACAATTGTCTTGACAGCTCCATCGTGGAGGTGTCCCAGTCTCTCATGCCAAAGTTGCATGTTTCCTGGCACCAAGGCTTGAGCTATAGTTGGCACAACGACCTCTGCATCAAGCTTGTACAGCAACTTATATCAAACACCATATGCTACGATGGCTTTCGTCCTACACTATCGAGGAGCAAGGGGGCCTACTTTCTTGTTTGGACCTTGCCCTCTAGGAGAGATCCCTCAAGGATCAAGCACATGATGCACATATCTGAATCAAAAATAAATCTCAAACTCGAATTGTTTGAGTGGTGTCCAGCCCTGGTGCATAGTACATGTAGATGAGCTCTTGCTTAGGATCTCCTGGTTTCTGGACCTCCACTGTGCCGACACCAATTACTAGAAGAAGTTTTTCACATCAAGTGCGAACAAGCCATTCTGGAATGTATGTCATAAAGGCTTCTTGAATGTGGCTCATGTACATCGTGGCCCCAGAATCGAGCGAGATTACACGAATCCTCACTATCATGTGGAGCTCAGACAACTAGTGCTCTCGCTTGGTCATTCTTCTTGCCCACTCCTCTTGGCTTGTCTGCAGCTTTGTCCCTGCAATCTCTTGCATAATGTCCTATCCGCTTGCAATAGTTGCACATGCCCTTCTTACTTGTGACCTTTGAACTGCCACCAATGTTGTCCCTACCACAAGCCTTCTAGAAACTGCTTGTGGCTAGACTACTATCTCCTTGACCTTCCCTTCGGTCAGCTTTTGAGGCCTGCGTTAATTTAGACTCGTGACATTTGCCTTTGTCTAACACTGCACATGGGAGTCATCCTCATTTCATCGAAGTCAGTCCCACTAAACACCTGGATTGGAAGGGCTTTGCTTGTCATCATGGCTGCAAGGGCTCAACTACTGGCCAACCTTGCTGGACGATGGAGTGTTTGATTGCTCAATGTCAATATTCCTACGTCCTCTTTTGTAATCAATCATTCACATATTGGAGAGTGGCTTGTGAGCGATCAAGATCTGCTTGCTCTCGCCAAGGCTTCCCCATCAGTTCCCCCAAGCACTGTTTGCCTGGGCTCCAATACCATGTTAAACTCTGAGGCAGTTATGGATTTTCTCCCTAACACCACTTTGTAGTTTCACCATATAAATATTTGTAGATCCGATCTGGATATTTCTACAGTCATACCGTCTGAATAGCCGTTGGAATTTCAAGTGACCGTCATCCCAATAAAGTCAAAGCTCTGATACCATGAAAACAAAGGGAGTGACGCGCAAGGAAAACTTGTATTTCTATAGATACAACTGCTGTAAATATCTGCCATGTAGGCATAACCACCTACTACATCATCTTATCCTCTCAACAAGGATGAACAAAAGAGGTATGGAACTCGTTGTTTGTCTTAGTCGCTACTGATTTTCCATGCTTAATTTTCTTGTATTGTTTCTTCCTATTTATACTTCAGTCTTCTTCTTTTGTTCTACTGCTTCTTCTTCTTCTTCTTCTTCTTCTTTATGTTGTTGAATCATTTTTTGATCGTGTCAAAAATAAGAAGTGTTGCTTGAGGTTCATAATAGAACCTCTTGGTGTCAATTCTTCAAAGAGCATGCTTGTCCTTTTCCTCCGGGAATTGTTTCATGTTTTGGACTTTCTCTTTCAAGCACTTAATTGTAAGGCTTTTTCTTATCTTATTATCCTAACTCAGTGCCTAACAATCCTCCCATTACTTACATTTTCACTTTGCCACAGCTTCATAATCCTTGTGAGTGACTTTATATCTTCCTAAGAGATGGTCGCCACTCTTGACAGGAGGTAATCTATCACAAAGCAAACAAACTTAGAAATACCACCAGGAGAAAGCTGGCTACGTACTTTGGTGGATTCAGCTCGCTACAACAAGTTGGAATGCACTCTACAATGCAGTCAAAATTTGGCTCCATGAAGAAAGCAATCTGTCAAAAGAAATCGAAATCCATCACGATTCTAACGACTTCACGCATTTTGCTCACCGAGTGGCACTCGACCCCATAATTAAGCACCCGGTGCAATGTTGACCTTGATAGACAATATGACCATCAAAGTCTAAAACAATCGCAATGTTTTTACCTGAAAAGGTTATTTGTCCACCGCTCTAGCATATCTCCCAAGTTGACTACAAATGCCCTGCTCATCAAATCCATACGTAAGTGAACATTAGTTACTCCTCGACTCACCCTCTCAGTGGCTGGACATTAGTCCATACTTGTTCCTTTGCATCTTTCTCCTTGCAAATCTATTGTTTCCAAGCGCTGGTCAAAGTTTTTTATGACACGTACACCTACCTGGAGACCAGGAACACCATCACTGGCGAGAAGTGTGAGCATGCCATAGTCACTGTGCGCACCAGCACCAAACAATCCCTCTTCTGGATTGGAAGCTTGAGCTGTATCGGGGGAAGGAAACAACTAGCAAAAGAAAAGCAAAGACCTCAAGCAACTTACCTGGATAGTGAAGCAAACGAACCACTGCCATGGGGTGGTCAAACATCCCAGGCTTGTCGAAAAACGATTCTTCTAGTTCCAATGCTCGCGCAATAAGCTTGATTAGTTTCCGCGAGAGCTTTCTGCAAGCCAAAGTCTCTTTTTGGATCAAGAAGAGAAAAGGAGAAATATACGTACTCGGCCTGGTCGAAATACATTTTCATTGTTTGCTTCCATTCTGGGAGTGTATCTGGCAAAGTTTGGAGAAAAACAAACACAGTAACGTTTAGAAGAAGGACCAAAAGAAAATCAAACCAGGAGATGGCCATTGATTTGGTCCTTGCAAAGGATCCTTTGCTCTGGGATCACTCCCTGAAACTTCGCGTCCAATATAATATCCTTCCTTCGCATCCCCTGTTCTCGACATGAAAAAGACGATGAGCATCACACAACACAAAGTTTTTACCAAGGCGTTGCTTTGCCGGATCCAGCTTCTCGTCAAAGATCGGGGTGTAGCCCCGGAAGTTCTCATCCTGGTAGACCTTCATCTTCTCCTCCAAGGGAAGCGTGAAGAATTTCCGGCTCTGCTCAAACACCTGTGCCATGAACTCCTCGCTTATCCCGTGGTTCACAACATAGAAGAACCCTGTCTCCAGGCCTAAATCACGAGATTTCCACACGCGAAAATCTAAAACAGACCGATCGATCGACCGTTACCTTCCTGAGCTGTTGCGCCAGGCGCTCCACGTCCGGGCAGGAGAGATCGATGCATTCTAGCCGCTCGGCGCCCGCCTCTCCCATCTCTCCAATTCCCTAGACAAAACCCTTAAAGCATAAACATCGAATATACCTCTTTCAAAAACAAAAGACCTACCCCTAAAAGCATATCCTCCCTACTACAAGCTTCAGTCTGGTAGGAATAGGTTCTACCACAGAATGGACAATCCAAAGAACCAGCCAAAAAATTTCCAAGGAAAAAACCAGAGAGAGCACAATATAAAAAAGGTGAGAGCGAGAAGATATTTACCTATGCTTCTTCTTACCACTCAACGTTGGCATTCTCTCCATGAGAGAAATCGGAGCCAAAGGAGTAGCCAGAGTTGGAGCCGGAGTGAAAGTAGTGCGCATTGGAGCCGGAGTTTGCTCGCTGCTTTTGGCGCTGTGCCCACAAGCTTTCCCTCTGGAGTGATGATCATCACTGGAGAAGGATCCTGCTGAATGACTGGAGGAGTTTGGGCCTGCGAGCTTCTTCGGCTCGCTGTTTTCTTCTTGAGAACCCGTCAAAGTTTCTTGCACGTTTTGTGTCTCCGGGACAACGTCTGGCTCCGTGACCGGTCGACTGGAAGCTCCGTGCTGTAAAGAGCGAGTCCAAGCCGTCGTTTTTATCAACAAACATCTGAAACCCTACTGAGTCTGCAATCATGCACATCTACTTCTTGAAAGTGATGTCTAAGTCACAATTTGCTAGTTTCCCTACTGAAAATAATGTCTTGTTAACCAGAAACATAGTAAACATGTGTATGAGTTTTGATGTCCATCATGCCAGCTCCCTCCACCTTGTGCAAGTAATCATCCCCTAGGAAAATCCTTCTATTTTTTGGGATTGAGGGTTGTGAAAAACTCTTCAAAGTGTGTCATGTGCTTGTTTGCCCCTAAATCAAGCCACACAACCTTTATTCCTGCCTTGTCTTGGAAGTTAGTGGCTTACTTCTAGATTTTTGTGGCCATGAACAAGCTGCCATAGTCGTCCCAATCATCTTCACCTTTGCCATACTAGTAAGGTTGGTCGACCTTCTTCTGCTAGCTGCTCTTTGTGTCTCAGCTCTTCTTACCTCCTGCACTCTCTTAGCCTCCTCATCTCTTGCTTAATGTCTTGGCTTTTCACAAATGTTGCAGATGAATTTCTTGTTGCTCAGTTTCTTGCTCATTGTGATTATAAGATGAAATTTAAGTATATTATCATTAGAACTTTAGGGTATATCTGGGAATAAAATAACCTCTTACATTTTTTTCAATTAGATTAAGGGGAAAGATAAAGTGTATAGTATCGAAATAAATGGTATAATTTTGATTTCTATTGATTAGAAGCTATATAAAATATAATATATCCTTAAATAAAGCATATTCATACTCCTAAAATTAAAATCATATATATTAAGCATCCGTAAATATGTTCTACCTTGTTCTAGAACCACCCCACTCTTTTTTTTTATCTGCATTACTGTCACCTGGATTAAAGTCTTTCTTAATCACTCCTTAGAGATCCTTTTCCATGAAGTAGAATTATGACTTTCCATGATTAAAAATCCTCACCTGAGCACAACCAAACTTTTATTGACATATAAGAATGAGAAAGAAACAAAGCTAAGCTAGCTAAAAATCATAGAACCTTCCCTCAATAAATTAGAATCACATATAAATTAACTTCTACCCAATATTATTTAAGCTTAACCCTAAATATCCTAAAACTTTAAACAAATTGAAAAATAAAATGCATTATTTTCCTTCTATATTTGAACATTTATGGAAAGTTGCTTTCTTTAGTTATTTATATCCATCTCTCATGGATTTGTAATCCAAAAACATTGATAACCAGCACTCCTTGTTTTAACATTTGCAAAATTAGAACTAATGCAATGTAGTGGCATACCTTCTTCATGGCTTTTACAAACTTCATGTTCACCATTCCAACCTACAACAGTGGTTAAACCAATGAAGAGTTTCGAGATGAAAGAGGCCTCTTAGTGCACTTTTCATCGTCATTCTCCTTAAGGTACTGAAAATAGAGCACGAGTAATCAGGCCATCTGCTAAAGAGGATTTTTGGGAGTTCCTTGCACTAGAGACTTCTCACGCTAGCTGTACGAGTGGGACTTCCAAACAGGAGAGTCTTAATCCTTTTCATTCGCACGGAAGAGAAAAACTCACAAGAAGTAGATCATGGTTCAATGCCAATGAAATAATGAACAAACAATGAAAATGTATTTGACTAGGCTGAGTAAGTTTCTCTTTTTCTCTTCTTGATCCAAAAAGCCCCATGGCATTGGTTCTATCCAGGTAAGTTAATTGAAATTGTTTGGAAGTTTTTTCCTTTGTCCTCAATACAGCTCAAGCTTCCAATCCGGAAGAGGGATTGTTTGGTGCTGGTGTGCACAGTGACTATGGAATGCTCACACTTCTTGCCAGCGGTGGCATTCCTGGTCTCCAGGTAGGTGTATGTGTTCTAATAATAAAAATTATGATCTGCACTTGGAAATGGTAGATGTGCAAGATGAAGGATCCAAAGGAGCAAATCTGGACTAATGTCCAGCCACTGAAAGGGTGGCTTTGAGGACTAAATATGAAGTTCACTTACGTATGGATTGATGAGCAGGGCATTTGTAGTCAACTTGGGAGATATGCTAGAGAGCTGGACAAACAACCTTTTCAGGTAGAAATATTGAGATTGTTTGAGACTCTGACATTGGTTCCCATTCTCTATCAAGGTCAACATTGCACTGGGTGCTCAACTAACGCTACCCGATGAGCAAAATGCGTGACGTGTTTAGAATCGTGATGGATTACTTTCGACAGATTGCTTTCTTCATGGGGCCAAATTTTGACTGCATTGTGGAGTACATTCCAACTTGTTGCAGCGAACTGAATCCATCAAAGTATGTAGATATCTTTCTCCTGGTGGTATTTCTAAGTTTTCTTGCTTTGTGATAGATTCCCTCCTGTCAAGAGTGGCGACCATCTTTTAGGAAGATATAAAGTCACTCACAAGGATTGGCAAACCGAAAATGTAAGTAATCTATAATACTAAAAACCGATTGTCCGATGCTTCCATTCTGGGAGTGTATCTGGCAAAGTTTGGAGAAAAACAAACACAGTAATGTTTAGAAGAAGGACCAGAAGAAAATCAAACCAGGAGATGGCCATTGATTCGGTCCTTGCAAAGGATCCTTCGCTGTCACTTTCTGAAACTTTGCGTCCAATATAATATCCTTCCTTCGCATCCCCTGTTCTCGACATGAAAAACACGATGAGCATCACACAACACAAAAGTTTGTACCAAGGGGCTGCTTTGCCGGATCCAGTTTCTCGTCAAAGATCGGGGTGTAGCCCCGGAAATTCTCATCGTGGTGGACCATCTTCTCCTCCAAGGGAAGCGTGAAAAATTTCCGGCTCTGCTCAAACACCTCTGCCATAAACTCCTCGCTTATCCCGTGGTTCACAACATAGAAGAATCCCGTCTCCAGGCAGGCCTAAATCACGAGATTTCCACACGCGAAAATCGGAAACCGACCGATGTTACCTTCCTGAGCTGTTGCGCCAGGCGCTCCAAGTCAGGGCAGGAGAGATCGATGCATTCTAGCCGCTCGGCGCGCGGGTCTGATAAACATCGAATATGCCTCTTTCAAAAACAAAAAGGTCCTACATCCTACCCCTAAAAGCATATCCTACTTGAGAAAAAGAAGATTCCTCTCTACATGCGCTCTCCACAGAATGGACAATCCACGGGCCATACTAGTAAAGTTGGTGGACTTTTTTCTGCTGGCCACTCTTTGTGTCTTGGCTATTCTTGCCCCTTTGCTCTCTTGGCTTCTTTATTTCTTGCCTAGTGTTTTGGCTTCTTACAAATGTTGCACAAATTGTTTTTATTCTTCTTTTTGAAATTTGAATATATTGTTATTATTAGAACTTTAGGGGTATATATAAGGGCTTTCTCATTAAATAATTACATTATTTTTAGTTTGATTAAAGGGAAATATAAAAAATATAATATACTACTATTCTTCTATTGTTTGTTTAACAAGTAATAGATTCTATCCAAAGTTTTAAAAATATTCTAGGATATGTTTCTACTCTTGAAAATGAAATTATACACATTAGGCATTCATAAATATATCCTAGAACCCCATCTTTTGCTATTCTTCTGTCTCCCATTCATTTTTCTAATTTCCATCATTGTCACCTAGATTAAGGTCTCTTTCAATATCCATGAAGACTTTCCATGACTAAAAATCCTGGCTTTACACCTGGTATTATTAGGCTCTTATTCACACATACCAAAAAGTCATGATGGTCAGCTTGACCTAGAAGGAAGCTGGAACATTCCCTCAATAAATTGAAACCACATGGAAACAACTCAAGGCCATCTCTAATGGATTTGTAGTCCAAAAACATTGACAGCTAGTGCTCCCTATTTTAACATTTCCAAGACTAGAACAGATGCAATGCAGTGCAATCTACCTTCTTCATGGATCACCATTACTCCTGTTACTTCATACTTCTGTGTTCTTGGAAGAACTCACCACACAATAGGACACGTGGCAGAATATCTATAGATGATCTAAGCCAATCGAGACAAGTTCAACTATTCCCCCTTCTTAAACAGTACAATTGGGAGGATTGGATTTTGATAAACCCACAGCCAAAGCTTTGCCTGTGGACTGATATTTGGGCACAATGGCATCAAGGTCTTCCAACCATGACCTTTCTTGATATGCCAGATCTTTGTTTCCCTTGATGACTACTTTTGTCATATGCACATGTGTAACTTGTATGATTGGAGTGTAGGGTTTTGGCTGGTGCCGCCTAAAGGATGGCCACAAGGGCGATTGACAACAATATGAGAAGCTGATTTTGGGAAGATTTTCTTGTATCACCAGTGCTGGTTTTTTTTTAAGTTGTTGTGAAAGAATCCATGTATCATCTCTGGAGGCTAGATGCTGCAAATACCTCTTCCACCTCAATTATTGAATAATTATAAGCAAGAAAAAAAGAAGTTACTCACTCAAAACTTTGGCCAAAACTTTATTTTGCAAAGAGGACTATATTAAATCACTAATATTATAGCA